TCAAATATTTTAAACATTGCAATATGATGGATCGTGTATCATGACGTCATCATTGTAGAATTCCTGATCAGAGATCACGTTTCTTGTCTTTCCTGTAAGATAAACGGAGAATCATTCGTAAACATTTCTCAGAATGATAGGTATGATGCACCTAAAATTAGATTTTCTCGAAAACAGGTATGGAATTCGTAGTATCTGTTGGCACCGAGACTTGTCCTAACCTTGGGTAGGAGTACGGCCACCCGAACTCGTGCCCTAACCCGAAACCATAGGTTAATATTACAGCATTTATATGCGTGTAGAACCTTCCGTAATGCCGAACACAATCGACGCAACGCATCGGGGGCGTATCCAGAACATGATAAACAAGGGGCGGAATCCTCTCCAGACAGGGACATAATTTCCTTGGCAGCTCTGCTTGCTTGAGACCCATTGCAAGTTGCAACGACTTTCTTCCGAGGGTCGGCTTCAATGGTGCTGGATGGATACGCCACTATAATTTTATGAGAATCGTGTCTTTCTTATTCATTGCTGTGGAAAATTATTTTTCTAAGAATTTACTATTAATACAGCAACCCTTCAGGAGAACAATTCGAGTAATCTGTCTCGCTACTTTTCTTTTTTTAATGAAAGAGGCTTCTCTATTTTGGTTTGAATTCAGACCTGTGTGCTGCTTGTGCGATACTAGACTTCCTCTTTTGAGAGACATTGTAATCATACGTATATTGTGTGATTGGAAAAAAAGAAATATGGGCATGACTGAAAAATTAACGTTAAATCGGAAATTAAACCCCAAAATCATGACATTTTGTATGGGATAATAAATTATTATGAGACCAGAATGATTGTCACTTTCGCGTTTGAATGATTTTGATAGAAGGGTAGGAATTACATGGATCAATCCGTCCTTCAGTCATGAAATGGATGGTTAATGATCTATGAATTACAGGAAAATCACTTGATTTATTAAAACGACAACATGCTTTCACATAATGTCTACGACATGTCATTACCACAGTGCTCAAAGCAAGGAATACGTGGTGAAGCATTGGTTATGGCACAACGGTCGCAAGCCCAGGGTTTTCTTAGAGGGAGGGGCACCATCCCGAGGAGAAAAAAACTGTGCCAAATAAAAAGGACGATGGACGAAAAGAAAAAAAATAAACATCATTATTTTAAAAAATGAAAGGATATTTACTACCATGTTTGATTATTGTTTACATTTATTTCCATGTCTATAGTTTGCTCCTTGAGCTCAGGTCTCGGATGTACTGGTATCTGTGTTGTCTGTACTCTTACAACGTGTCGGGGTTGGGCAGACAAATAAGCCCACGCTACTAACCAAACGACCATGCTATACATCCTCAACAACATATCAAAATTGTCATTCAATCTCACTTTCCGCCCACACAACAGGCGAGAGTAAAGAACTGCATGAAACATCAACAGCATTTGTAAACAATGTTGATATATATATGTGTTCTAAGGGAAATTTGAAATGATTAATAAACAGAATTAGATATACACAGAGACAGCTTTACGTTATAAGTTTTAGAATGAAGAATATCTAAAGAGTAAATATCACTATATACGTCTGTTACTTTCGGTACCACGCGTAATGTGAGTATTTTATCTCGTGGGCGTGGATGGACTGAAAATACCCGAAGCGGGAAATTGTTATTTCATTCCATATGGTAAATGTCTGCTGCCAGTTACATGAATACAAGCACCTTCATCCCTCTACACATTAACGTATATCCACATTATATTTTGCCATTGCAAGTAGAAAAAAAGAATACGTGAGTTAAATAATAAATTAGAAAATAATTATCATCTATACATTGTGAACAATGAATTGGTATTGGTTGGTTTGTCCGTTTTCTGCAAAAGTATCCAATTTCTGCAAAAGTATCCCACACGTTTCCGCTTTGACTGTTCAGTTTTATGGGGTGGCGTGGGTGGGGGAGGGTGAGGGAGGGAGGGTGTTTTTAGTATTTGTTTTTTGTCTTTCTTTACAAAAATAATTAATTCCCACTTACTTTCATATGGACCTTCATTCAATATTACAGGTATATCTTATGGTGGCCCTGAAGGGACATCGCGAATAGACTAAATCGTGAAAAATATGCGATAAAATTCACGATATCGTCAATTTTATCGCATATTTTTCACGAAGAAATTCACGAAATTGACGATATCGTGAACTTTATCGTGAACTTTTCACGATGAAATTGACGATATCGTGAATTTTATCGTGAAGTTCACGATATAAAGTTCACGATATCGTCAATTTTATCGTGTACTCTATCGTGTACTCTATCGTGTACTCTCCTGACGGGCGCTTCGTAAACAAAACCAGCCCTAGCTGGGGGAGACAGAGAGAAGGAAAAAAGGGAAAGGGAAAGAGAAGATAAAAGGAAAGAAAGAATAATAAGAAGAAAAGAGGGAAACGGGGGGGGGGCGAAGGGCTCTTGCCTCCTCCTCACTCCCCCCCCCCCCCCCCCCCTCCCCGCCAAAAAATAAATCAGAGAGAGAGAGAGAAGGGAAAGGGAAAGGGAAAGAGAAGATAAAAGGAAAGAAAGAAGAGGAAGAAGAAGAAAAGAGGGAAACGGGGGCAAAGGGCTTTTGCCTCGTCCCCCGCCCCCCGCCAAAAAATAAATAAGAGAGAGAGAGAGAGAAGGAAAGGGAAAGAGAAGAAAGAAAGAGAAAAACGAAAAAGAGGGAGAATAGGAAAGAAAGGAAAAGAAAGAAAAGAAAGGAGGCAAGAGCCCTTCGCCCCTGTTTCCCTCTTTTCTTATTCTTTTTCCTCTTTTTTCTTTCCTTTTATAATTTCTTTCCCTCTCCCTTCTCTTTCCCTTTATGGCGGGAGGGGGGAGGGGGAGGTAAGAGCCTTTCGCCCTTCCCCCGTTTCCCTCTTTCCGTCTTCTTCTTCTTTCTTTCCTTTTATATTTTCTTTCCCTTTCCCTTTCCCTTCTCTCTCTCCTTATTTATTTTTTGGCGGGGGGGGGGAGTGAGGAGGAGGCAAGAGCCCTTCGCCCCCCCCCCGTTTCCCTCTTTTCTTCTTCTTCCTCTTCTTTCTTTCCTTTTATCTTCTCTTTCCCTTTCCCTTTTTTCCTTCTTTCTGTCTCCCCCAGCTAGGGCTGGTTTTGTTTACGAAGCGCCCGTCAGGAGAGTACACGATAGAGTACACGATAGAGTACACGATAAAATTGACGATATCGTGAACTTTATATCGTGAACTTTTCACGATAAAATTCACGATATCGTCAATTTCATCGTGAAAAGTTCACGATAAAGTTCACGATATCGTCAATTTCGTGAATTTCTTCGTGAAAAATATGCAATAAAATTGACGATATCGTGAATTTTATCGCATATTTTTCACGATTTAGTCTATTCGCGATGTCCCTTCAGGGCCACCATAATATCTATATACATTCAAGGTTTTCACATTCTTAGTTGCCTTATATGATTTTGTTTAAATAGGCACATTTTATGGGAGTTGAAGACCTAGTATAGGCCCATTTGATTTTGAAAGGGAGCATTGACCGGTTGTACCCCCCCCCCCCTCCCCCTTTACCAAGTCCACCAGTGTGTACATATATGAGTCTGTGTGGACACCTCACATTTATAACCAAAAAAGAGAGAGAGAAAAAAATGCTCTTCCTTAACCCTAGTTATAGGTAGGGGCATAGAGGGGGAGGGACTAGAGGTAGCTGCCCCCTCTTGATGATTACGATATCAACTGTGTATTTTATATTTTGTGCAGCATAATGCTTCTGACCACCCCTCTCCCCCATTCAGCAGATAGGGGTCGATGTCCCTGGTTATAAAATAAATTATGATGATTGGTAGATTGATGATTAAGTTTACCTGACTTCTAAGAATTTGTTCATATTTATTTTTATTTTAAAGAGGGCCTACTTTCCGAGGATCCGACATGGCTAATAATGATAATACCCACACCACACGAAGGGGGGTTGTGTATGAGTCTGGTTTCAAATCCCGTTTAAGTATTTACGATGATTTTGATTTGCGGTCATAAAATTCTAAACCTAGCTTCAAAGTAGTTGCGAAACCCATAAATATCATTATAATCTTTAGTTGTAATTAATATAATATATTTCTTTATTTGACAGAAAGTTGCCCAGGGACTGTAGCTAGCTCCTCCTTGAAAGAAAATGGACTTTTGCCCAGGGACTGTAGCTAGCTCCTTGAAAGAAAATGGACTTTCGAGTCTTCGAAATGCGGATACAGTATTTGGAGCTTTCTAAGTTTTGGTTTCAAATTGAAAATCCGGGTATGGAGGCCTGAAATAAACACGATAATATCCCTCATAGTCATTGATATTAAATCAAAACAAACATTAAATTAATATATGTATTGATACGAAAGTCACGCATCAATTTGTAGTCTGAGCATTGTGGGGACATTAATACAGGAGTTTCGGAGATAGATCACACGCAACATCATCAGGAAACTAATAACAGTTATTACCAAAGGGACGGTCAGACGATGAAATGGGGAAAAACCCTTTTTGACTGGGATAATTATTGTCTGCTAAATCATAATACACAGTTCCTCTTCGTTAACCATTGATAGTTTAACGTGTTGATTCGAAGAAGGCACCTGCAATGGTCCTGTTATCACTTCGGTACAAGTGCCACGCCCCCTTCTCTCTCTCTCTCTCTCTCATGAAAAAAAATTTGGCTCGACAGGCATCTCTCTCTTTTACGTAATATCATTATACCGTCTTGGCTTTTGTTTTTCCGTGTAGCTTTCCCTCTATTCACTTCATAGAGGCATTAATGGATAGCTTGTTCAGATATAAGGGCTGGATCGTTTGGTAACTGCATAATAACATAATATCTCCTTGCTCTATAACCATTTTTCTTTTAAGATTTCATTTTTTCAGATCACATCCTGATTAAGTTTGACTCGCGTTACAAGTTACAACTGTACATGTACTTCTACTTGAATAATATTAGTGATACAAGAATATATTTGTAAAAAGGAACATTTTATTGGTAAGAAGTTGAACAACACTAGTTCCTTGCTTTACAACTCTTGTGCATGCTTATTATGTGACTAGACAGGTTCCGATATATTCATGAACATCCATGTACTTTACTGACATACAAAACAATAAACCCAAACGCGTAATAATACATAAAAATGAACATGCGATGGGCAAAACAATGAAAGGTGCCTCTTAAATTGGAAATGGTGCAAAGATTAAACAGGCAATGAACATTTAGAATGGACAAATACCTATTCAAAATATAACACTATACTGGACGTTCTTCTTTGTGAATCATGAAAATAGATTCGTTGCTTGGACATAATAACGTTATATAATGTACATCAACATGTAAAACAGAAAATGATATCCAGTTCCGAAAAGTCCAATGCATTGAGAACAAATTATCCAGTTCGAAAGGAAACGAAACGAACTTGAGGTCGTGGGGGATTCCAACTCATAGTTTCGTTTGGTTATCTCACGATTGTTCTTCGTCAAACATGGCTTGTACCAGCTGCTGCATGACATTGATCTTCAACTGTTCCTTCTTCCGTCCTTCTGGAATCTTAGACAACTGACTGGTGATCAACCTGCCAAAGATGGTATCATTGCTCTCCATCAAGTTTTGTCCTGATGATGGGGATGGCAGGAGAGTAGGTCCTTGCTGGTAAGGCTGGTTAATTGTCGATCTTGCTGCTTTAGCTGTTGCAGGAGGTGGGGACTTGGGCCTCGCGTGTTGTTGCTGCAACTGCTGTGGTTTTTGCTGCTGTTGAGGTTGAGACTGGGTCTGTTTCCTTAGAAGTTGCATTTGCAAAGCTCTTGATTGTGCCGATGTTGCAGGTATTGATAAGTTTGAAGTTGGCATGTTTACTTGTTGTTGGGCTAACTGCTGCCTTGGTACCCGGGAGGATGATGGTGTTGGTGAGACTTTCTCTCGTGATGCTTGCTGTGAGACTAAACTTCGCACGTGTGAAATGTTTATTTGGCTGCTTGGTGGCCCGGCTCGAGATCCTGCAGAGGATCCAGTTGAAGGCACGGTTGCCCGTTTCGATGTTTCCACTGGAGGTGTTGACACTGTTGCTGCCGCTCTGCTGAAGGTGCTCCGTTGTCTTAGGTCCCCACTGTTCAACATCTGACGCTTTTTCCGGAAACCTGTAGGTACGAGCAATTGCATACGGTCCTGGCCGCCAAAGCGGTCGGGTGTATTTCTGTTAGCTAGTCGTGACTGTTGGTTGAAGGATTCAAGAATCAAGGTAATGACAATTACATAATTATAAAGAAGCAATATCACGGGTAAAATGATTCTGTGTTAATCATGGAATGCGATGTATACATTCAATTAGCTGCCATAATACCCTACAAACATCATTTTAGGCTATCTTCAGGGTAAGTAAGTTTTTAGCCTATAAAATCAAAGGAGAGAAATTCATCGAGAAGTTGTAATGAAATTCAATATTATGTACCTGTTAAAAAACATTGAAACGAAAATTGCACTTAATGATAATACGCACATGACGTATAAGAAATAGATGAATATTAATGTTGGTAGAGTTGGAAGGACCACAGTGGGACATATTTTGGCACTTCGCAGGCTTATAGAAGGAGTAAAAGAAAATCAGCTCCCGGCTATTATCACATTTATTGACTTTCGCAAAGCCTTCGATACCATCCACAGAGGCAAGATGTTGAAGATCCTTACTGCATATGGCATACCGGAACAACTGGTGAATGCTATTGGCAAGATGTACGAAGACACCAAAGCAAAAGTAATATCACCTGATGGAGAGACTGACCTCTTTGAAATCATGGCTGGTGTGCTTCAAGGTGACACGCTTGCACCTTACCTATTTGTAATAGTCCTCGATTATGCCTTGCGAGCAGCTATAGACGGCCATGAAGAAGAACTTGGATTCCAACTAGAAAGAAGGAGAAGTAGGAGAGTTGGTCCGGAAATCATAACAGACCTAGATTTCGCCGATGACATAGCCCTGCTATCTGAGGAATTAGAGCAAGCCCAAAAACTCCTGAGCAGGGTGGAGACATCGGTAGGCAAGGTCGGGCTCCGGATGAATTCAGGCAAAACCAAGTTCATGTCATTCAATCACAGGGGGGTCATCACTATAAAAACAAATAATGAAATTCAGTTGGAGAATGTACCTGATTTCAAGTACCTGGGAGCACTGATGGTGAGCACAGAAAAAGATGTGAAAGCTCGTAAGTCAGCAGCATGGAGAGCGTGTAGCAAGCTTGGAAGAATCTGGAAATCTACTCTTCCTAGGCAGTTCAAACAACGTCTGTTTGTTGCTACAGTTGAATCAGTGCTTCTATACGGCTGCGAAGCATGGGCAGTTGCAACAAAGTTGGCAAAAGAATTAGATGGTTGCTACACCAGACTTCTTAGGACAGCATTCAACGTGCACTGGAGCCAGCATATGACCAATAAGGAGCTGTACGGGAATCTACCAAAAGTATCAGAAAAGATCAGGGAAAGAAGACTACGTTTTGCAGGCCACAGCTGTAGGAACATCAATGAACCAATATCTCAGCTTTTACTCTGGAAGCCTAAACACGGGAAGAAGAAACCTGGAAGACCTCATCTTACTTATACAGACCTACTCAAGAAGGATACGGGACTTGAACTGTCAGAGATAAAAGCAGCCATGCTGGACAGGAATGTGTGGATGGCCATCACAGCTCGGGCAGTTGACCCGACTTAAGCAAGTAAGCAATGTTGGTAGTTTCTTTTGAGAGGAGCCCTAGATCTTACCCATTTGTTTGCAAGAGCTAATTTTGCTGGTTGTCGCTTATGAACAGTTCTGCGAAGAAACGAATCGAGCTGATCGAAATAGGGCCACTTGGACTGATAAGTGGGACTTCTCTTCTGTTTGATGATCTCTTTTGTGTAGTATGTTCGAAGGTTGTTGTATTTCTTGATGACATCTTCGGCTAAAATATAGTTTTGGAAGAGGAGAGTATGGAAATTTATTTGGAAGATCAAGTTCAAACGAAAGCAGTGGGCATGATCACGGTTGAACCTAAAACTAAAAGACACCCCCCCCCCCCCCCAAAAAAAAAAAAATTGTTTAATTTTTTGTTTAATAACCCCCCCCCCCCCCCCCCCCCCGGTGGGCTCCCTCGATTTTGATAACCAAGTCTCTTCTTGAAATTAAAAAAAATCAATCAAGAATGATTACGATTTAACACATTATAATTTCCACTAGACAGAATAACAATATGAATGGTCAAGATGATCTTGATTCGATGATTAATAGTATTACTCAACTTTGGTTTCTTTTAAACTTTTATAGAAATGGGACTTACTAGACCACCCCAGCTCTTCACCAATCCTGCGAAAACTCCTTTTCCTCAAGAGCTTCTCCCTGTATGCCGCGTTGGTAATGTCCCATATTTGTGGGTGGTACCTGACCATCTCGATAAGGTTCACCACAGTCTCTTTCTCAGGTTTACTCGGAGTACCTTCTCGATCTCGAAGGATCATCGTGCCACTACCAGCACCAGGTACTGTTTCTTGATCGTCAGTCATGAACACGTTGTTGCTTTCAGAGCCCGCTTCGTTCTCAGCCGACATAAACATGGCCGCCGCAGCAGTCACCGCAGACCCTGCGTCGCTTGACGAAATAATTTCGACACATTCCTCTTTAATATCCTCCTCAGCATGGCCAGATGACTCCATTTTGGTCACTGAATTCTTCCACACAAGTTCCCTGATTACTTTAGGGTTTGAATAAGATCTAATTTCGATGCAATTTGGTGCAGGCCGAAAATAAGTAACGTTTGTAGAAAGCATAAAAGTCTGCAGACAACGCGTGTATCTAACTTATAAGCGATATCTGAGTGCACGGTGTCGTACGATATGCCTTACAGACAAAGGGAGTGTATACTAGCGCACTATACCATGTACAGTGTGGATTGGCGTTATTGCAGACACACACACGCAGACACACACTCACCCGACATTCACAAACAATTCGCTTTTTCTACAGACTACCTACGACAGCGGAGGGAATACCCCAGGCCCGTCTTCAGACTTCTCTCTCACTCTCTCTTGCATTGAAACCTATAAAATGCTATTTTCGTAATTTAACCAAATTTAATGCATGCGTCTGTGTGAAGTGCCTCGATACAAGTTGTTGCCAGTTAGGACAAGCATTGTGGATTGCCTTACCTAGCAACACTTAATATATGCAGTTGGCATTCTGACTATTGAAATACTTTAATTCTTATCAATTGAATGGAATAATTTGTATTGAGGCACTCTACAAAGACTTATGTATTAAATTTGGTTACATTACGAAAATGGCCTATTCATCACTTTTGCTCATAAGATGTATTCATAATAAATGGATGCTTCTTCAACAAGTGCTTCGTCAAGCATAATTATGGCGATTCTTCTGCAAACTATCGAAATAGTCAGTTTACTCGTTGTTGCTATGTCGAACAGGTATACATCGGGAAAGTTGTAGGTTTAAGTTTTCGATAACAACCATTGTTGGAGGAAAAGAAAATAGCACACTCAGAAAACGTGTATAAACTGCCAACTTATGTTTAATAGTGGTTTGACTACATGTTATTTGAAAGTAGAAAGCAGATGCCTATTGTCATTTTGTTTTTTCAGCTTTTTCACCCTTTTCTTTTTCTTGGGATTTCGCAACATTAACAGATTATAGCTGAAACGTTAGAGCGTATTTTCACTATACCGCCTACACACTGCCTTCTATAGTGATCCCCAAGATCCCTTGAACAACTTTCCATGCGTAAGGACATACACACAAATGTATTGAAATAATATGCAACCAAAGCTTTTTGTTAATATAGGAAGTTGTCATGATTGGGAGGAGAAAGTGTTGACGGTTACACGTAATTAATCTGTTGCCTTGACTGCGAATTTGGTTTCCGTTTCTTTATAGGCTGCAGCCAGAGGATGAGAAGACATAATAATTCAGACACATTCGCCACCCTCCCTCACCCAAACCCACCCCCACCCAAACCACCCTCTGATTTCCGCGTAATGTTACATTGCAAACCTGTCGGGCAAATGTCCAGAGCGAGATCCCTTTCAAATGTTTGGGAAAAGCACTTCGTCGTCTAGACAATTTATCTCAAATTACATCTTTCCGTGGAAACCTCGACGACGTGTGCCAACAAATCCGAAAGCATCGTCTTATTGTACAGCTTGTAAAAGATTTCCTTTTTTTCAAGATAAAGGGGGAAAAGGGCTTCTTCGATTTCTGATTGGTGAGCCTTGAACTTGCGGCTGCTTCTTCGGACACTCGATGTATAAAAATGCGATTTGTTCTTCGAAAATATCGGTTGGAAAACACGAGACACGGGAAGGAAATATTCATAAAGTTTAGCCCATAAACCGATTCTCTCTCTCTCTCTCTCTCTCCAAACCCTCATTCCCTAGTTATGTCTTTTTCTCTCTTTCACCATCTCTCCCTTTCTCTCTCTATCTTTTCTTTAGCCCTCTACCCCCTCCCCCGTCTCTCTTCTCTCTTTATCTTAATTGAAGTAATATAATGTGTAATCAATAACCTAGAAATAACAAAAATATTTAAAAAATCAAGTATCAATCAAATAAAATAAAATTCCACAATAATTTACAACACTAATTGACCAAGCCATTTTAACACCATCTTATGATCTTCGATACGAAAATCCTGCCTTTAATATTATCGATGCCATCAAACATTAGTTCAATATTATCGTTCGACATTCTGTTACTTGATGAAATTTTAAAACGTGCAAATACATTTTCATTTTTGTAGGAAAAATACCGTTAGTGAGTGAACCTGTTTTTCTTTTAACTATTGTACCTCTGGAATAAGTAAAAAGTTGTTCACAGAATACAGCAAATTACAATTGCTTTATATTCTTTGAACGATGATTATTCTTAAATCGCCTTAAGCTAGGGATACAAATTCGTGGATAGTATGTAAACAACTAGCTTTCCTCGTTGACTGGTCAATATTATTAATGAAATTATGGATTCATGGACGCCTGACGTTTATTAAAATGGAAACGACGAAATATCTATGAAGTATGATACAGCTATGTATTGAGAGACGTTGCCTGGAAGTGCAGATTAAGAAACGACACAATTCTTGGTCACCTTCAATAACGGAGGAGAGAGAGAAAGAGAGGATTTCATTGTGACGTCATCACTTCTCAAAAGTCTCCAGTTTCGTCTCGGAAAGGGTTCATATTAATCATGACGCTCACGCAGTGTTATGTGTTACTCACAATGAGCGAATGTTCGCGTCGAAATTGCGTTGGCGATCGTATTCGGTTTCTATTTAATACATGACTTCTTGACGTCAAAGCAGTTCTCTTTACCAGATACGAAGACGTAAAAAATGAGGTCGTCGATTTGCCTGACGCTTCTGTATAACATTGGTTAATCAATAACGAGAAAGTAGAGACTGCAAGACTAATATTTGATAGCTTTTAGGCATTATTCTCAATCACACAACGCCTTACAATTTGGAATACGAAGTGATTTCTTACGTCACCCTCTTTATGTTTTCGCTCTGATGTACATGTACATGTACCTGTCCGAGGCAAAGGATGGATTGTCTGTCTTTGGCAAAATTATTTCCGGTTGTCTGCGCATCCACAAAATGAAAGCTTTCTACGGACAGATTTGTTTCCTCTTCCGACTCTTAATTTATATAACCCTTTACCCCCCCCCCCCCCCTCTCTCTCTCTCTCTCTCTCTCTCTCCCTCCATCACTTGTCTTCTTCTAATTTGTATTATACCACAATGCCCGTATATACAGTGCCTATGCTTTTCTTATTTACGATTTCTATCTCCCTCTTTGCTCTCCTACATATATTTCCATTTCCACCTTTTAAGTTTTATCGCAGTGCATTTCCCTTCCGGAATAGGCTTTCATAACGTCCTCTGATTCGTAATCAGCGATGAAAATCGGATGAAAGCCTATATTACGTAATCGTCTAGACAAGAACCACACCATACAGAGTACAGACAAACGAGTTACGAAAGATTAATTACGTAGGTGTTATCCATCTTCTTCTTTTTCACCTTTTAAAAAATATTTATTTCATGATTCATCATTCCTTTTCTCGACCAACCATTGTGGTATATTGGTGAAGGCTCTTGACTCTCATACGAGAAGTCTCGGGTTCGATCCCTGATCGGTGCTTTCAATACACCCTAATTGGACAAGGTGCTTTGCCTCAATTTGTCCCTCTCAACCAGATGGTTACATGGCAATGCTTGGGTAATAATAATTGCAGGTTCCGCAGAAAAAGCATTTGTGATACTGATGTGGTTACCCTCTCTCTGTAATAGCAAGCTTTATGGAGGAAGATTGCCGAATATTGATTAATGGTTAGGTGGTGGTGCATGGCCCAATCACAATGCATAGCAAAACATTTTCATGACTGTATTAAAGCAGAATTACATATCTCTGTTTAAACATTTGAAAACACGGACATAATATCGTAATTTATAACGATAAAAGTTTATTTTATCACAAGTATTAAAGAGAAAATGCTTCACTGATATTCCTTGCAACCCGTTGTGACAGTTCCTCCCAGGGTAGTATGATTAATTCCCTGAACCTCGAAAAATGTGTGTCGGTGATTTTTTTTTTTTTGTTCTCCCAATGGCAAAACGTACAATAGCTCTCAATAAAACAGATATTAGAGCGCATACCTGTGGTTTCCAGACAATAATAAAAGATTTGTACTCAAAACAATTATCATATAGGTGTGTCTATGATATGGTGCAGACATAACATTGTAACGTCATGCTCTCAAGCACTGTCGGTTGAAGTATTTGGATATCAAGGGATGGGCACTACACTCATACCAGTTTAATCCAACCGAATATTAGAACATGTTTTTGGTTACTGTAACTGTCACGAGCTATCGCGGAAAGTGCAAACAGAAAGTGATGTGCTTTTATCAGCCCCTGAACTCACAAGGGAATTGACACCATTTCCTGCAGGTCGACAAACTAGCTTTCAAAAGTACTCATTACTTGGAAAATGAGCAGCAATTCATTGTCTTTACAAAAAAATGAGTAAACTAGATATTTTTTCGGAAGTTTTGTTTTCACTTGCGTATACTTTTGTCGATAATATCAAAACTAAAGATATGACTTGGCTGTATATTTAGGAACTTCCCCATTTTCCGGGACCGTTTTAGTGTTTAGGATTATTCAAGTTGAGCTGAAAATGATGAGCGATATCAAGATAAAATGATATCACATGAAGTTTGAGAAGCCTAAGCATAGCAATAAATTATCTCTCTCTCTCTCTCTCTCTCTCTCTCTCTCTCTCTCTCTCTCTATCTACTTCTTTCTCTGAATAATTAATCATTTTTTTCTTCTTCATACCGGTTGTTTCTATTTGCTCTTGCCAGGGCTTGTTGCACCCGGCCTATTATCATCAACTCGTGCGTTATACAAAAAGCTACAATATTGTTAACTTTCTGCGTTCGTGGTGTTAAGAGGCCTACAAAATGGGTGACTCCAGCGAAATTCGAGAAAATAGATTTCTATCAGTATCGATTGTTTCGAAATGGCACTAAGGTCAATATAAACATGTGAATAACGGTCATAGTGTGACCCGTGGAAAACCAACGGAAAAACCTGAAAGACACTTTCATACTTGTCATTGGCTACCATACGCATAGATACAGACCTCTTCCAATATCAACAGGATGATATCCTGCATTGAAGGTCCGAAGGGCATGCTTCATTTGTTTCATTTCATTTTGTTTTATCAGCTGAAGGTAGCTTTCGATATCTAAAACACAACGAACCCTCGAACCTAGAAAAGTACGATTTCAAATGTTTCCAATAATCATGATTATTGTAGAAGAATTACACAACATATCTTTTTAAATTTTACCAGCCGGTTCCAGAACCACATAGTTATTGATATTATAAAAAATAAACACACATGTCAA